TGTTGGTTAAGTTTTAGTCTGATTCAGATTTAAATTTGGGCTGGCTTCTTTTTAATCAGTATCACTATAAATACCCAAAATGTGTTTTTTCAGAACTCAGACAAAAGTTTAGATCTCTGTGATACATGTGAGGATTTTTTCTTACATGTTATGCAGCTGCAAGCTTTACTGGCCATTTTGCTGTATGTTCAGCCAGCTTTCTCCTCTTTCTCTGAAGAATCTCAACATTCCTTTTGTCCTAACTACTGTAAATGAATTATCATTTGTAGACAATTCTGTCTCATTTCTGTCTTTCCAAAGAAAATTAAAATATTCAGTGGAACACAAGCATCATGGAGCCTTGCCTGGTCTTCTCCCATGATTTTACCAGGTGTGTCACTCTCTGAGGGGGGGCATTCAGCCTTTCTTGAAGCAGGTGCAGGCTTCACAGGAACAAATCCCTTTCAGTACCTGAAGGGACAAAGATGGAGAGAAATTTTTTACAAATGTAGTGTCAGAACAAGGGGAAATGACTTCACACTGACAGAGAACAGGTTTAGACTGGCTGTTAGGAAGAAATTGTTCTCTGTGAGGGTGGTGAGGCCCTGGCACAGTTGCCCAGAGAAGCTGTGGCTGCTCCCATGCCCTTTCCTGAAAGATCTTTTGTCCCTTTTCAGTTTGTGAATGGCCTGGTTCTTCCCACAGCCACCAGAGTCATTAACAGTATTGTCTCACCATGCTGCCCTGTTAATTCTGCCAGCCTCCACGAGTCACAGCAACACCTCCTACAAGCTCCAGCAGCACCTGTGGGAGTCACACACTGTCAGACTCAACACTGCCTTGTGCTAGCCTAAATTTGCCTTTGTCATAGGCAAGCCTGACCTGATGCTGCATTTCATGAGGTTGCTGTTGTTTGAATAAAGCCTGTGTTTTTCTGATGGGAAGGTGCTCCTGGTCTACATTCCAAGTTCACAGAGCAAAAGTCTGTGCTCACAGAGCCTGTGTGGGAGCAGGAACAGAGGAAAGGCAATGCCACAAAAAGATTGCTCTAATACTGCTGAACATAGCAAGGTTGGTCTAATCAAGCCAGAGGTGAAAGTGTTAATCTAGACCTTGCCATGGCAGCCAAAGGGTGCACTTTAGGCATTTGCCAATATCTGACTCAAAACCAGTAAGTCGCAGTCCTGACACAGTGGAAGACACTTGATGTGATGCAACTGACTTCATGGAAGTCACAACTGAGCTCAGGACTCAGTTTAGACATTTTGGACAGCACGGTTCAAGTGTAGGATACTGATCTCTGCCAAGAACTTAAAACTGAATGCAGCCACCACAGAATCAGGAAGTTCCTTAGGAAAGTTTGTTAGACTTGTCAGTATTGACACTGGATTTCAGATGTATATTTGCTTAATTACTCTTTTGATAAAACCCCTTAATAAGCAAGTCTGCTCTCCATCTGGTGCTGATCTGACTTAAAATACAGTGAGATTGGCAACTCCTTAATTTATGGACAGGATAAGTATAAAATTTGTATAAATCAGTTAATACTAGAAAGTACAAAACTTGTAGGTTCTTGAAAAAGCAAACTGTGAACCTTTCCTCTTAGGACAGAGACTCTTTGTGTCTGACCTTATGGAGAAATATCTCACCCATTTCTCAAGACAAAATATCGATTAGTGATATTTCGGTTTTTCAGATTCCTTTCCCCTTAATTCTTGTTCAAGATATAGAACTATACTTGTCTTGAAACTGGTGACACTTTGTATTCAAGGCAGAATTCCCTCTGTTTAATGATGTGGTTTTATGTTTAAGGCTTTAATCTTATATCAATAATTTTAAGTGCTTTTCAGTGATGCTGTGAGCGAGGAACTACCATCCTTCTTTGTTGTTTTCAGTGCCAGATGACATTTTTATCCAATGGTAGGCATCCATTTGCCATGAAGATTGAGTTCCAGGAATGCAATGTACAGATGTGAGGCAATTTTGATCATTGTTCTCTGGAAATTATCATTTTACTAGTTAGTTTACCCTTTGGATTGCAATCCCTGCTTCTGAATTACTAGAAGGAAATCATACTAGCTTTATTTTTTTTTCTGGAATATTAAAAATCTTGTTTAAAACTAACCACCCTGCTCTAGCCTGTAGGAACTGCAAGTTACCGTCTGTGAGAGGTGGCAAAGAGCTCATCTCCCATATGACTGAGGAAACCTTTGCCAGAGAACTCTGGATTGAATCAGGAATGTTTCCATGAAAAATGTACCTTCCAAGCACCTAACAGCCTCCAGAAAAAGCAGTTAATGGAGAAAGTCCCTTGCTTTGCTCTATTCCATTTGACAAAAGTGTCCCTGCACCTTCCTTTCCTTGTGTTTGGAGAAGAGTGGGAGGAAGTGCAGCTCCATGTGAATGGAAAGCTGCTCTTTGCAAGTCATTTCCTGACTGTTCTGAGTGATGGCTTTCAGAGAATCCCAAGGGCTGGAAGGGACCTCTGGAGCTCATCCAGTCCAGCCCCCCTGCCCAGGCAGGGTCACCCAGAGCAGGTGACACAGGAACACACCCAGGCAGGTTGGGAATATCTCCAGAGGGGGAACTCCAGGCCCTCCCTGGGCAGCTGTTCCAGTCCTCTGCCACCCTCAATGGAAAGAAATTCTTCCTCGTGCTGAGGTGGAACTTCTTGTGTTTAGTTTGTGGCCATTGCTCCCTGTCCTGTCATTGAGCACCACTGAAGAGAGCCTGGCACTGTTCTCTTGACACCCTCTTTGAGATATTTTTATGTCCTTTCCTGACCTTCTGTGCACCTCAGGTGATAAGACAGAGCTGAGAAGTAAGATATGGAAAGGGTTCCTCTGGATTCATAGAGTCCGCTTAGAACAGCTGCAGACAAAGGTTCAGGACAGGAGATTGCAGCAGGACAAACCTTACTCTAAAGGACTGCTGACAGGTGTTTGATAACAAAAACTGTTTAACTCAGTACTACCAAGGAGCCTCTCTGTTAAACAGAAAGCTTACAGCAGGACACTGCTGCATTAACAAGATTAACAAGCATTTGTTGTCCTGAGGTGTTGATTCCAGTGGAAGAGATTTTAGTGGAAGCTTCTCCTGCAGTGTGCACAGGCTTCATTTCAGGTCAGTAATCACATCCTCCTCAGCCTCTCCTGGGGCTCTCGCATTGATCGACCTCCAGCTGGAGGAATTGTCTGAAAGGAAGGGCATGACTGTTGTGTTGAGGTCACATTTCTAGACTGAGAGTGGACTGAGGGAAGCTTCTGCCCTTTGGATTCAGGGGAGACCTGGCATTTGAATGTGGTGTGGGTGTGCAAGCTGTCAGCCTTCCTGCTCCATCATGCACATCTGCCCCCCTCCAGACAGCCAGTTATGCTGTGGAGGGACAAGAGGAGAGGACGACAGGTAGCTTGAGCTGGTGTTTGAGTTCTGAGTAACAAAGTCTCTGCTGGATGAGGCTGTGTCACCAACAAAAGGCTCATTGACTGTTCTGAGTCATCAGCAGCAGTACATGTGAAGGACTTGAGTTGATGTGAGGGGGTAGGAAGTTTGCCCCAGGACAAATCTTGAGAACAAAACATCCATAGAACTAAAACACGCTTTATGTTTTCCGATGTCTCTCCTGGAGAGTCAAATGGGATTAAAAAAAAAAAAACAAACCCAAAAAAAACAAAATAAACCACAAAAAACCAAAAAAAAAAAAAAAACAAAAAACACCAAAAAAAAACCAGGAGGCCATGGGATCTAAAAGCTTGTGAGAAAGGGCTATTTGACATCCTTTGCTATGTTTTCCTGGGTAAGCCGGAATAACACTATGGATCACAAGTGATCATTCTGCTAAACTGACTCTATAACCAAGCAGACACCTCCCTACCTTCTCAGCAAAAAAGGGCATTACTTTGGCTAGATACAGTCAAAGGTACTGGAGAGCCCATTGCTTCAATACCTGTGTGAGGGGAATCTTCCTACTGAGTAGAATTCTCGCAGCTGAGTTAGGATTTTATTCCCCTTTCCCCAGTTAAATGCCTTTTTTGGTAAATATTCTGGGGACAAGGCTTCTTTGGCACCTTTCAATAAAGTTCATTTTTGAAAGTGGCAGGGCAAAAAAGGAGGAAACATCTAGAGTGAGATTTATCTGTTATTTTCTGGTGTGAATATTTTTTTTGAAGGGTGCTATGGTGTCCAGTTGCTGCATGAAATACTCCCTCTAGCCTAGAGAATATTTGCTTGTTTACATAAAAAGCGAACATTATGTGCTCTTGGCTTCTGACTGGTTTGGAAATGCCCTCAGGAAGATGGAGATGGAAGTTAAGATAGAGGGAAAGGAGGGAATTGGGATTTTTGAGCAGGGGCTGTTACCACTCCATAAGGAGGTAAGAAAAAATAATTATGCTTCCTCTGATCAGCCTCTTTTCTGGGAGGAGGTAGAATTTAGGTTCCTAATTGGCAAACTACGTGTTACTTCTGGATTTAAAGAGAAGCCAGAGTCCGGGCACTTGGGGAACTGAATCCACTGGGAAGTGTGAGTGCAGGATTCTACAGCAGGAGACTATACTGGGGTTTTGATATTCTGCATTTGGGATCACCACAGCTATATGTGCAATTAGTAAGGATTTCAGCATCTGATTCTTCCGGTGACCTGGCCTTCCCATCCCACATCAGGAGCTGTTTGGCCTCAGGAAGCATCAACCCTGCTAGTGTGGCATTGAGGACCATATCCCTGAAGTGATAACCAAGAAATGTGTAAGGAGCAGCTCTTTTGCTTATCTTGAATTACATTCACCTGTCTCTCAAGAGCCCTTTCCCCCCTCACAGGTTGAGCCCTGTACTTTTACTAAAGGCTGGTGCAGTGCCAGCTTTCCATGAGATTGTCTGGCACGGAGACTTGCATCCAGACATGTCACTAAGGCTGTAAAAACAAGGGAGAACTGCAACCCTTACAAGTGCTGAAGACAGTTTGGAACAGCCAGAGCAGGTGTGTGATAAACCAGTAAATTCTGCTGCCTCTCTGTGTTTTCCAGAGTGACCTGGAGCTCAAGCAGGAGCGGTGTTCTCCAGACAGCTCTCCACGGCTTCCCTAGTGAGCCACGAGACCGAGGCAGAAATTCCAGTGTGGGGAGGGGGTGAGTCATGAGATGGTGAGTGAAGGAAACAGCAGGATAAAAATAACAGAGCCCAGTGTGATGCAGAATATTAATCCCCTGCCTTGTGTTATCCTTGCTTGTATTACAGGCAGTACTCTGCTGTAGTGTAGATGCTCTGCTGCTCAAAACAGATCCCTCCATGCTACTCAGAAAGATTATGGCTCAGGATGCCAGATTGCAGGGACTCCTAATACTCATGCCCTCAAGTTAGCTGAAAATTCTTAATCACGACATTCCTGCTGCAGAAAATACGTAATCAAAGAGCGTCAAAATGCTACATTTGTATGTTTAATGTTTACATGAAAATGTAAATTTTAGTTCATTAAATGTCAATTTCAGTTAGTTTGACATCAGCTGAAAAAAATTTATCTATTCGAAATTTAAATGAGTGAAGTCCCTTTCATTTTCCAACCTTTTTTTAGCTCTCCTTCTTCCTTGAAAAGGAGAAAAGAAAGGAGAAGAGTATGAAAATACCATGAAAAACCCACACAATACTCAAGTTTGATTCTAGCTAACATAAATCAGTAGGGGGAAAAAGGTAGGAAAAGTAGAATTGGTAAAATAAAATACATAAAAAAGAGCACCAAATATTTTATTTTGAGATGTGAATCTTTCTTTTCTACTCAAATCTGCCATCAGATTTGATAGGCCTTGTTCCGAGATCACTCAGAACAAAATCAGGATCCCTTCTAGGGAGCATTTCCAGCTCAGCCACTGTGAGGTTTCTAACCCAGTCCCCTAGACATCTCCTGTAATCACTGGGCAGTGATCTTCAGAGAGCTGGTGGGAGCTTAGGGAGCTCTTACTCTGGTATTTTTCAATCCAGCCAGGAATCTGGGCACCATAAAGACAGGAGGAGCTTTTGCTTGACTTCAGAGGGTGCCAGCTCTGGCACTGAGGCTTCACTGCAGATTAACACATGGGGAGCTCTTCTGACAGAAACTGCTTTTGGCATTTCAGAGTAGGGAGAACTGTTTATTTTATTTCACACAGATTCACTTCAAAACCTTTCCAAAGGATTTCACTTTGCTGCTTTTTTTTTGTTGTTTCTTTTTTTTTTTTCTGTACGTCACCTTTGGGTTTAAGTTTACCTTCAAGACTGTGTAAAACTTTATCAAAACTGGGGAACAGCCTTCTGAGACAGGCAGGAAGGTGGCTGTGTGGTCCCCACGCTGCAGGATTCACAGGGTGAATGACCAGTATTTGTTTGGCTCTCTCTCCTCTTTGCCCTTTCAGGTCTGCTTTATGAAGTGAAGTGTTTGCACACACGCTGAAAGAAGGCACTGTTCAATTGTGGTGGATTTAAGGAAGGGGGGTGTGTGTGTAAAATCATGTGGTTCAGGTGTGCAGTTATGGTCACAGTACTCCTTGCTCCCTTTCAGACCCCATTGAAACCAGCTTCTTTCATCCCAGTGAGCTGAAAAATCCCTTTTTTTGTGCTTCTTTCTTTCCTATTTTGTCTTACAGAAGCTGCCTGGGAAGCTACTTGGGAATAACTTCTCTGGTTTTAAATATTCTTCTTAAGCAATCTCCTGTTATTTTTTACTTTTATATTTCCATGTATTTAGCTTATTCTTGTATACCAAGTCTTTTTTATTTTCCAATGCATAAAGAAAGAAAGACTTATTTTGGAAGTTCTGCAAAAATGGAAGTCATTGTAATCATGATTTGATGTCCTTGGAATGCACTTTATTTACTATTTGTTTTTATTAGGACATTGTTTGAACGTAACTTTAAGCCCAATAAGGTTCCAGGACTAATCTCCTGGGAGAGGATATTTATGGTCCATATTTTCGGAGAGGGAGATTGGAAGTAGAAAAAGGCTTAAGTATTTAGGCCTTGCTTCAGCTCTGAAGGCAGGGGAAATCTGCAAATGGTCACTTGACCAGTTGAAGGAGAGGGTGGCATGTGCAGATGCACAGCTCCAAGGGGCAGTTGCATTCCATGTGTGCTCATTCCAAGCAGAAACATGGGCCTCAGATTGTGTGCATTACTGCAGGGGAACTGACCTATTTTTCTGGAGAGGAAAAATCTACCATAAAAATCTAATTTGCAAGGATTGTGGGAGTGGAAACAGGGCTGTTTGTTTTTGTGGTTTTTTTCTCTAGGATATTTGGTTATGCAAACAAATTGATGAGGGAGAAACTTCCAGCAAAAAAACCATTGATGGTGCTCAGTGTCACTCAATTAATTGTAACACTCTTGAAAGGGAAGTGAAATAATGGTGAGTCTTTCAGAGAATCAGAGAGTCATAGAATGGTCTGGGTTGGAAAGGACCTTAAAGACCCTCTAGTTCCAACTCCCTGCCATGGGAAAGGACACCTTCCACTTTGTTCTAAGCCATAATTTTGTGTCCAGTGTGGAGCCTAATGGTTTTTCCTCCTTAATTAATGCAGCTTTTTGCATGACACTGTCCTGATTGCCTTCCTCCTGCAGACACTGACCATTAGGAAGACACTGCTGCAGAGTCTGAAACCAAACCAGCCTATTCCTTGTTCTCAAGTCATCTTGGGTTAGAAGCTGCTGAAAAACTTCCTTCTGGATAAATAACTGTGAGGTCCCCATCATCCCCAGAATTGGATTCCTTCACTGGGATTGCTGAAACAGTGGTCTGCTCCAAGGTTTCCCTCATAGAAGAATTGTTCAGCTTCACAACAGGAGTGAGAAAAGTTTAAATGCTTTGGGGCTTACTCCCAGGCACAAGACTTCATTACTTGAGCTTTTGAGCTTTTGCTTGGAAATAAGTTGAGTTCTTTTCATCGATTGGGCATCTTATCCCTTGCTTCTTACATATCAAACTTTCTCATAATTCTGGAAGAAGATTCAAGTGTTTGTTCTTTTTCTTTTATTGGCACTTGTCTTTGTTTATTTATTTTGTATTCTTGAGATGTGTCGCATCTCTGGAGTTTGTATTTCTACTCTTACCGTAAAAATGTTGCACATACAGGTCTAGAATGCATCTGAAGATTAGTATAATTTTTCATGTGACTTTGACTTGAACATTTTTCTGTTTATGTTTATATTGCTATTTCAAATATGTGCATTACCTGTATTCTTTATGCCTGTTCCCCATCCGTAACTTAATAAAATAATGTCCCCATTCTTCAGAACCATATCCTGTGTGCGCGACAGTGATAACAGTTTCTGAATAATAGTGACTGATAATTTTAAATGTGCTAATCTATATTTATGTCTGTTTCTATATCTATATCTCTATCTATATCTGTCTGTCACAGCCTGAAATTCTTCTGATATGGGATTTGAGATGGTGAAAAAATTACCAGGAAGTGGTAAGCTCAGCTCAGGAATAATTCTTCATAAGTCTGTTTGGACTTGAAAGTTAAATTTTCCTGCACCATAAAGGTTTATGTTCTTTATTTCAGTTCTCATCCATGGCTAAATTTAGAACTGATATTACATGAATCAGTGGAGTGTCACCCATTTCACCAGGAATTTGTGTGAGGACAGTACTTCGCTGTGCAGCTCTTGGAACTGGATGCTGTAGGACCTGGCCCAGCCTTGTGAGAGTCCTTTAGGCAGATTCTCAGCTCGCATGAACCAGCCTCATTTCCTTGACATTAGTGAAGCTCTTCTGGTTTTGCTCACTGAACACCTCAGAGTTTACCTGCATTTAAATACAACTTGTTTCTGTGAATCACAAACTTTTTAAAGGAATTTGGTTGGGTTTTTTGTAACCCTCTCTACTAAGGAAAAGGATACCAAGGCCTGGGTGATCTGTGGGCTGATGGAATCCTTAGGCCTTTAACTAGAGAACTTCATACTTGTCATGTGGATCTTCCCATTCCTTCCAACTCCCCTGATTTTCTTTTGCTGGATAGATCCAGTGAGGTGCTCAGTTCTGTGCTGAGGCATAGCCTGACTGACGTGAACAGATGCACAAATGGATGCAGGACTCAGGCTTTAATGAGGAGATTTCTGAGTCTGGAAACAGGCTTTGATCTTGGAGTGAACTAATCAAAATTCTGAGTCCTCTGAGCATTCATGGACATTAAAGTCCCTCAGAGCAAGGGCATGAAACCATTCAGTGCCTCTCCCGCTTTGGGGAGATTCAGCTTTTTTTGGCTTTTTCTTTGGAAAAGACATTCAGTGCCAGTAGAAACTTGAGGCCATTGTACAATGCTGTCTTTTTATTACTGTTATATTCCTTTGGGTCTCAAAGGTTTAGTGAAGTCAGTGGGAAATTTTCTATCACTTCCAGTGTGTTGGGAACATGTCCTTGCTGCAAGTAAGACTCCACCAAATACAACTGTTTACAAAGCAAAAAGAAAAGGACATTTCCAGTCCTTGTCTGTTTAATGCTGTATGCCAAGCCTCTGTTCAGGATTATAAATTGTACAAATTGCAAAATGTCCCATTTAAATAGAACAAAAGCTGAACCAACTCAAGCTGTGGGCTATTTACCACAGGGAACGGGCAATAGGACCCCCAGGGAGAAGCCTGAGCATTGTGAGTGGTGACAGTGGGGACAGGTGGCTTGTCTGACTTACCTACACCTCCATCACTGAACTGAGTGGAGCTCTATTTTCTCATGTCCCCCAGAATGACAGCTCCTGATTGTTCTTACATCCTGGAGGCACAGTATACACATCTAGACATGTCCAATCAGAAACAAGATATGTTCCCGTAAACAAACAGCTGGGGCTGGCTTATAATTAAGGTTTCTATTAATAAGGTATCTTCTTTCATTTAGGTGAGCTGCTGCTGCTGTTTTGCCAAAAGCATGTTCATTAATTTCTTTCCAGCTTCTCTTTGTCATTATTAGAGCATAGGAAGCAAGTCAATGGTTTAATAAGCTTGAGTTTCAGGCTAGACTAATCAAATAATTTTTATTCTATTTAGCAGCCTTTATTTTGCAATAAAAGATTAAATTTAGATGAAAATATCTTCAACCTGAAAAGGGGATTTTGCTTAGAAGTTGACTGTCCTTAACCAGCACGTAGCTCTGTGTTTGAACTTTGTGCCTGTAGTTACAGGAAAAAAGGTCCAAGGTAAACACAACAGAAGCCTCCTAATGATAAGAAAAGTGATGGACTGAAATCCACTGAGGTGAAGGTGGTGCAAAGACCTGTCTAGGACAGGATTCTTAATCCCAGGATCCAGTTCCATCCCCTTGTGAGCATGTTTGCAGCAAAGGAACCTTGCAGACCATGTGCCTGCCATCAGCCTGATTCGGCTGCCAACACTGCTGAACGCTGAGTTCATTCATTATTATTGCTGGTTTTTCAGGAGGCAAGATGAGCAAAATCAACATCAATCTCCAACAGATGGGACTAGGGGAGGGCAGCTGCAGGCATTCGGTGCACTACATACGGCAGGCGAGCGCACGTGGAATCCTCTGCCCCCGGAGCTCCGGCGTTTCCGTTCCACGGGCAGCAGGAAAATACAATTATCTGAATTAACTGCCCACAAATCCCTGTGCTTTGTGCTGCCCGGGAACACTGAGCACAGAGGTGCCATTCCTCACGTGGCAGCGGTGGAAAAGAACATTCCTGCCTACGTGAGATGAGCAGGGGCATTCCTGCGAGCCTCCTGCTTTTTTGTTGTTGTTGTTGTTGTTGTTGGTAGCTCTTTCTGTTTTGTTTTTACCTTTCAGGCTGGCAAATGAGATTACAGAAAATAAAATGCAGAGGAAACGTGTAAACAAGATTACTAGGACAAAACAGTGCCTCTCAGCACATTAACTGCCCTGGGGGATGTGAGGCTGGGGTAGGGCTGGGAGCAGTTTTTGCCTGGGTACAGCAGATGCAGGCAGAAAATATTAATTATGTGCTCTGAGAGAACGGCTCTCACCCTGCTCAGAGTGCTGACAAACAGGGTGGGAAAGAAGCATGAAGAGTTCAACTTGTTAGGGGTATTTTTATTATTCTTTCACCCCAAAACATCGTTTGGAAATCATGTTGGATTTTGACAACTTTCAAAGGATCTCAGCTGTCATTTTGCTGTCTCTCATGCCTGGACCCACACACATTTGGCTCTGTGGATAGGACACGAGAGCTGTCGTAAGATGAGAAATCTGATAATCTGACCAAAAATGTTTTGTGGGTGATAGAGAGGGGATACTTTTAGTTGGATTCTTTGCTGCTGGTTTAAAATGCTGGAGGTTGTTGATACAAGCCCTGTCTGCCCAGTCTGTCTCAAGAGCTGTGAACTCTTACCTGTGAGAGTTCTGGATGAGGAAGGGGCCACAAGAGAAATAAAACTAGCTCATGTTAAAAACAAAAACAAAAACAAAAACAAAAAAACACAAAAAAAAAAAAAGTCAAAAAAACCCCAAAAAAACAAAAAAACCCAAAAAACCAACATAACCACATCACGACAAATCCTCCACCTTTCTGCTTGCTGGCAGAATCTCTGCTCCCTCCCACGCAGCCCCAGCTGGAGAGCCTTTACTTGCAGCAAAGCCACTCTGGTTGTGACAGTCCTTTCCACTCACTGCTCCCTTTTCTTGCCCTCCTAGGGAGCAGCAGCTGGCCACCACAGCCCCTCCTTTCTGCCTCCAAGGGGCTCCCCACTTATGTAATGTGCAGAAAGCAAAGGAAGAAAATATTGAATTGATGCTAGACAGTGTCAGGGTGATCTTCCTAGTGGCAGAGATTAGCAGGTCCAGTGCTGCAGTGAGCATCCTGCTTCAGCTTCAGGTGGAGTCAAATCTTTCACCCAGGCCCTGAACCTGCCTCACATACAAAGCCAGGGCAGAGGAGCTCTGTGCTCATGTGCTTCTGGGTTTAAAAGTGCCTTTCAGGCCAGAGTGGAACCTGGTATTTGGAGCGAGGCTAAGTTAATGTATTAGGGAGATTGTGGCTGGGTGGGAGCTTTTTCGCACGTGACTGGCCAAAATCTGTCTCTTTGGCAGTGCCAGGATCAGTGCTGCTGCTGAGGGGTCACCTAGGGAGAGTGTCCCCTTATCCCCTCTCTGCCAACCAAGGCAAGGAAGGAACAAGTTTCTTGAGCAACCTGGTCTGGTGGAAGGTGTCCCTGCTCAGGCCAGGGGGTTGGAATGAGGGGGTCTTTAAGGTCCCTTCCAACCCAAATCATTCTGTGACCTTATTAAACCATGCTTAGTCCTGGCTGAGTCAAGGGCCAGTAGTTTCTGTCCTTAAAAAGCAAAGTTCAAAGCAGCTTTTGGGAAGAAGATGGGGTAGAAGGCACAAATTAATTTGCCTCTGCTCACTCTGGGGTCTACCCCATTCCTGCCCATCAGTGAGATGGATGCCAGTGTGGAAGCTGGGAACAGATGTGTGGTCCAGTAGCTAATGAGGTGTGAGTGACTGCTTCCCTTCGTGTTCAGGAAGCACAGCGGAGTACTCCTTTCTCAGTCACAGGCCATCCTGCAGGACATCTGAACAGGGATTCTAATGCTCAGGGAAGCAGAAGTGTCAGAGAGTGAGGAATGAGCGGAGCAGCCTTTGGGGACTGAAGGGGCAGCAGCAGCCTTAGTGCAATTTGCGTGTTGGCTAAGGACTGTTTTATAAATGGAGCACAGCTATCATCCCTCAGCTGCTTGGAGGTTACAAACCTCTCTGGAGGATAACCAATCATTTGGATTGGCTTAAACAGGACAACTCACTGCAACAATGTGGAGCCAAGATACGCATGTGAGCGCCTCAGCAGAGAGTCACAAACAAGACTGAGGGGAAAAGAAATCCCATCTGTCAGGGAAGAATTTGCACAAAACCTCCTGATTGCTAGAATTCCATACCCTGGTATTCCATGAGTTTCACAGAATCATGGGATGGCTTTGGTTGGAAGCTTTAAAGCCCATCTAGTTCTAACACCCTGCCATGGGGGATGCTTTCCATTATGTTGCTCAGAGCCCCATCTAACCTGGCCTTGGACATTTCCTGGGATGGAGCAGCCACAGAAACTTCTCTGGGCAAGTTTCTTTCAGCTCTTTCTCTCATTGACCCTGCACAGCTCAGGCTGACAGGTAAATAGTGTGTAAGAGCAAACCCTTTCCTATCTGGTTACAGATATTGCTACCTTTGCTCAGGTACACTTTGCTCTTAAGCTATGAGAATGATGCACTAGAGAACAAAATTCTCCTTTCAGAGCCTTCCCCATGCCATTCTC